TGATCATACTTCACTTCTACTAATGAACAGATCTTAATAATAAGCAGGTAATGGCCTCAATTGTGACCTAAACTACTGCATTTCCTAAATGAAGCGGAATAAAAAGCTCTTTTGAAGGGGAAAATCCAAGACAAGATAGCGTTGTTTAATTTATGAACAAGCTGAATTGTGTGTGTTTACATGTTAAACTGGTTCACAAATTGAATTTAAATGATTTATTCAGAGTGAGTCTTCAGTAAACCCTTCTCTTATTCAGATTAGGCCTGCACATTATCTGGTTTCAGCGTGGATATCACAATAAGTGCATCTGCAACAGTCACAGCGCACAGATGAGCAATGCTGAGTTGACTTTACACTGTATTTTTAACATTTAAATATACAAAACCATAAAGCATGCACTTCTTATCTCACTTTTATCTGTTTTATTGCATTCATCAGTGTTTGTAGTTTGTTTATTGCATTTAATGCATGATTAACTCCTCTACAGACTCATCCAGATCTATCTAAATGAAGACATTTGAGAACACCAATTCTCAATATTAACTAATTGCTTATTAGCATGCATGTTACTGAGAAACTGGCTCCTTATTAGTACTTATAATCCTCATTTTCTGCATGATCTTAATCTACATCCCTAACCCAATACCTAGACTACTATTAATGTCTATAGCGAGAATTGAACCCAAAGTTAAGGCTGACTATAAACTCTTTTTATAACAATATAAATCAATATACATTTGATAAAATTGTAAGAAAATTAAAATATTGCAATCTCTGATTTTTCAATATGGTGCAGCGCTTATTGAAAGGATCCATCTGATCTGAGTGGGCTTGCACATGTTGTCACAGTGAATGAATGATGTGCTTATTACACTATGGCATGTTTTTGGTGATTCTTGCCAAGAATACACTGATCACTAAGCACCTTCACTACCTTGACTGTAGTGATATTGAATGGGGAGACTTTAAACTCGTCTACTGGAGTAATATTTCATTAGGGTTACCTGCACTTTCAGTCAAGTGTTGAGTTAGTGATTGTGGTCCACTGGTGTGTGCAGTACGGTGCAGCTCGGCCCGGGACAGAGGATCAGACTGCAGGTCAGCTTCACACCCTACAGACTGGGACTCAAGAAGCTGATGGCCACCTTCAACAGCGCCACCTTCAAGGACGTTCAGGCCAGTGCGGATGTCGATGTGAGATCAGCGTGAGGTCAGCAGGAGGTCAGCGTGCTCCTGACCCTCAGCACATAAACACCAGCACAGACCGGCTCACATCTCTGCAGATTATACACGGTTAATATCCAAACATCTCAGATTCTAGACTCAGAGAACAAGATCAGCAGTGTTGGGGAAAGTTACATCAGAGAGTAATGCACTACAATATTGAGTTACTCCACAAAAAGCTGTTACTTAGTCACTTTTTATGGCACGTAATGCATTACAACACTTTTGAGTTTATTTTCTGCCCTCATAAGGCTTGATTTCTTTCACAACTCATTATTTTTTCTTAAATAGAGGAGCTCTGCAATGCACAACACACTGTAGAACCTTCACTTACCTTTAAAAACACACATCAATAACACTAATGTAGGATAAAGTTATCTTCTGAGCACTTCCAGAGCTCTGCATGCCGTATATACAATCTGTTTGTGCAATACAATAATGACCGTTTACAGCAGTGTGTTTGCTGCTGTTAGTCTCATTAGTGCAGTAAATCAGTGTGATTGAGACTATTATAATCCCCTTTTCCTGTTCTTCATCTGTTCAGAATAATGAGAAAACTTCCAGCATTGAGAAATGTAAGCTGAAGTAATCATGTTCTGTCTGTTCCTGCATTCCCTCATCAGTGCCGGATTCAACACTCTTGGTAATTCAGCTACTGATTATTTAAAAGCTAACTAATTAAACTAAAAAGTAACTCAAATAGTATACATTTATTAAAGTAATGCATTTCTATACTCATTACTTAGAAACATAATATTATTACTTAACTTCTTGTAATGCGTTTCCCCAACACTGATTACATAGTCTATGTCCTAAGTCTATGATAATCCACAGGGCAACTTTTCAAGCAGCATTGCAGGGAACAAATGATGCATAAATGGACACCCAGCGAGACAACTGATTACAACAGTGGGTTACAGATACAATATAGATTATCCATTCTTAATAGAAAAGCAGCCAAACTACATCAATCTGCATAATTGCCTGGCAACATTGCTCAAAAATAAGATTACATATACATACAGATGAAGTCAGAATTATTTGCCCCCCTGTTTATTTTTTCCCCAGATTCTGTTTAACAGAGAGCAGATTTCTTTAACACATTTCTAATCATAACAGTGTTAATAACTCATCTCTAATAACTGATTTATTTTATCTTTTTCATGATGACAGTAAATAATATTAGACTAGATATTCTTCAAGACACTTCAATACAGCTTAAAGTGACATTTAAAGGCTTCACTAGGGTAATTAGGGTAAAGTAAAGGTAATTAGGCAAGTTTTTGTATAATGATGGTTTGTTCTGTAGACTATCGAAAAAAAATATAGAAGGGCTAATAATATTGACCTTAAAATAGGGTTTAAAAAATGAAAACCTGCTTTTATTTTAGCCGAAATAAAACAAATAAGACTTTCTCCAGAAAAACAGATATTATCAGACACACTGTGAACATTTCCTCAACCTGTTCAACATCATTTCGAAAACATTTTAAAAAGAAAAACATTTAAAGGGGGTTAAAATACATACAATAAATATATATAAAACATATAAATATCCATCTCTTTTTTTTGCTGTAAGATTTGACATTTTTTGTCTGATTTCTGTTCTGCATTAAACTGATGAATATTCTGCACGTCATATATTGTATATTTGTATTTTCTTTGCATTGATTTTATTGAAAAGAGCTTGAGATATATAAATATGCTTTTTCTTGCTTTATGGGTTTACAATAAATAAAATAATGACTAATTTAATCAGAGTCCAGTGGTTTTACACTTTCATTCATTTATTTTTTTTCTGCTGAACACAAAACACTCTTCAGATTAGGAACAGAAATACTATGACAGAATGTTCACTTTGGGGTGAACTGTGCCTTTAACAAATAAACAATCAAATCAAAACTTCTTGCACCAAATTGATTTAAGCACTATTAATGATCTTTATCTTTGTGTCTTTATTTGCAGAAAACTTCTAGGGCTTTGCAGTTTGTATATTTATTTCATTCACAAAGTATCAGAGATTTTCTGTTGAACACAAAACAAACTCATCATTGACTTTCATAGTAGAAACAACAGAATGTTCACCTGGAGATGAACTGTATAATAAATAGAAAATAATGTGGGATCTTTTTTTTCCACCAAAACTTCTTGCACAAAATTAATTCAAGCACTTTTCAGGTTTTTATCTGTGTGTCTTTATTTTCAGAACAACTCTAGGGTTTTGTAATGTTTTCATGTTTTTGTGTGTTCAATCTTTATTTTTAATTCTCCAACTCTCAAGGATTTTAAGCACTCGTTGGAGCATTAGCATTATGCGTTTAATCAGAATAAATAAACATTTGAATTAAAAGTCTGTTTTGTTCTGTTAATGAAGCAAGTCATATGTAATATTAATATCTGTAATATGACGAACATTACAGAATGAGCAGAAGATAAACAGAAGATATTGTGAATAAAAGCATGAAAACACATGTCAATATTTCTGAGGCTCAGACTCCTCCACGGCTGCAGATCAAGCTCAGTTTGTTTGTGCTGTTGTTGATTCTCCTCTGCAGTAAAAGCTCTGGATACTTCACGCACACATGCATGCACGCACACACACACTTGTTCCGATATCCAAGTGGGGACTCTCCATACCTGTAGTGATGTTTCTACTGTGCGGACTGTTTATTCTTAAAACTTAACCCTCAACGCAAACACTCTGCACGTTTACATCTTTACAATCCTTCATTCTGACCGATTTATGAGCTTGTTTACCCATGAAGACCTCAATATTGATCCTCCCTGTGATACAAGTCCCCATGAATCTGTGTGCATTCAGGTTTAAGTCCCCAGCAGGATATAAAAATAAGTACCACACACACACACACACACACACACACACACACACACACACACACACACACACACACACACACACACACACACACACACACACACACACACACACACACACACACACACACACACACACACACACACACACACAGGTTTGTTTCATCTTAGTGAGGACATTAGATTAGACTTCCATTGTTTTTCTCTCAGGTTAATGATGTCTATGGCTTAACCATAACTCTACCCCTAACCCAACCCTCACACACACAACTGCACACACTGATGAACATCTGCTGAGAATTTTACAAGCAGTAAAATATCCTCAATAATGGATCCTTTTAATATTTCACTATATACATGAAAACATACAAGTCCTCACAAGAGTAGCTAAACCTGTACACACACACACACACACACACCGTCTCTCCGTGCGCTACGAGCCGCTCCTCAGCAGTGATCTGACCTTCTCCAGGTTGTGTTCAACAGCTCCACTCAGAAACTCCACCCAGGACACATCGGCCTCCGCACAGACATGAGAGGACCTGAAGGAGAGCAGGCAGAGATGGACCAGCACATGAGGACGAGGGGAACACATGACTTTTGGAGTGTTGTTTAAATTTGAAGATTAAAGAGGATATACTAATCTGCTCACCACTGACCTCCATAGTATTATTCTAATATCATACTATTATTGTCTATAAGTCAGCAGCTGTGTTTACATCCACCTCTTTTGTTTGTGCATTTTGGAATACAAACATGGGTGTGTGTGTGTGTGGGACTGAAGTGTATCTCACCTGGTGATGTCCAGCAGTTTTTTCAGCACAGCTGCCAGTCTGCACACCTGCAGTGGAGAAAACACACACACACACACACACACACACACACACACACACACACACACACACACACACACACGCACACGCACACGCACACGCACACGCACACGCACACATGCTGGTTTAGGTAGATCTTTTGTGGAGTGTGTGTGTGTGTGATGGAGTTAACATGTCATCATGTGCTCACACTCACGTTCTGCTCCACGGCAGCTCGGTCCACAGGCGGGTAAAGGCTAAGGGCCAGGTCATCAACACTAAACACACACACAAAGAGGAGCATGTGAGTGTGTGTGTTAGGGTTAGTGCGAGTGTGTTTGTGAGTGTATGGGTATGCATGTGTGTGCGCATCTGTGTGTACATTTGGTACAATATTAATACATTCAGTACATGCTTAATGTTTATTCATCCATTCATCTATTTTCTTTTCAGCTTAGTCCCTTTATTAATCCGGGTTTGCCACAGCAAAATGAATCGTAACTTATCACGCATATGTTTTACACAGCGGATGCCTTTCCAGCTGCAACCCAGTACTGGGAAACACACATACACACTCATTCACGCACACACACAAACACCACAGACAATTTAGCATACCCAGTTCCTCTATAGCGCTGTATCTGTTTCCTTAATGTTTAAAAGTAGTCAATATTAATTATAAATGTGAATGTACCTCATTTAGGTGATTTAAAATAATTAAAGCTTCTCATTTTTTCTGCTTCTCCATCATTCGAGTGAGTTTATTCATTAATAATCTATTATTACACTAACCTGATCCATTCCACTCACAGCCGGTGTTCATGCTGTGTATATAACTGATATACATATATATATATGTGTGTGTGTGTGTGTTGTAAATCTGAGTGCTGCTGGTCTAGTGCTCTCACCAGGGACTGACATGTGCTGCAGCGTCCGCCAGGTCGTCCAGCTGAGCGATCTCCTGCTCCGTCTCCAGCTGAGCGTTGTGTCTGACCGCAGACGAGAGTTTGCGCAGACTGGCTGCAGATGCCTTCAGCAGACCCTCACACTGACCAATCAGCTGCCGGTCTGACGCTGACCAATACCTGTCCTGATTCCCACGACCACCTTCATCATCATCATCATCATCCAGGACGTCTCCAAACGGGTCCTGTGACTCAGCCAGAGCCTGAAGAAGAGGAACAGTAGAGTAACACACACAGCACACACACACAAACACCATCACTAAATAAAATCAGACACACAAACACCATCACATACACACACTGCATACACAGACACAAGATCACTGCATACACACACACACACACACATAAACAAACACACACACACACAACATATAGAAATAAACCTGCTGCATCTCCTCCAGAGCGTCCTTCACCAAACCCACACACGAGCTCAAGACGGCCAGAACAGCACTGCGGTTATCTGACAGAAACACAATATACATACACACACACACATTATTATTCACATTATGTAAGGTGTGTTTAAGTAGTGCACATTTGTTAACTACATATTAATTTAGACACATCTCTGTATAATGTCTGCAGTGTTTAAAGCTCAATGTGTGCACATCACCTGCAGAGACGAGCTAATTATTTTACAAAAATGATCGTTTGGCAGAACTGACTGCATTCCCACAGCTCAGCAGTTCCAGCATTCCTCTGGCATCAAACCCAAGACTGCTGTTGCAGGAGCTTTATTACAAAACAACACTGATGTCTCAATGAGCCACACAGAGACTGCTTTACATGCACTAAAACACCCCTCATTTTAATGTGGATGCACAAACTTACCGATTTAGAAGCAGCTTTAATTTACTAGCAACACTAGTCATCTCTGCCGGACAATCTGAAATACTGTATGCATTTTTATTCTCTATTCTTCATCTGCACTGTAAGAAGCGCTATAGAAATAATGATGGACGGAACTGAAGGACTCCAGCACAAGTTGTTTCTAGATACCTTTGGGTATCTGGTCAAAATGGTCACATGCGGCCCAAACACTCCCGGTGGAGGTGAGCTGCTCCTGCGAGAGACTGGGGGAACACAGGAGAATGTAAACACAGTAAATGAACACAGACAGATTATAAACACACACAGGTTGTTTAAACAGTATATAAACACAGACTGATCATCATATCATCACTATATCCCATCATCATCTGATCATCCTGATACAGCACTGAAGCGCAGACACTGATGAAGCGCTGGCGCACATGCACACTCACTACAGCTGATCACAGCACAGCTTATCTGCAGTTTCTCTGACTGGACACAAGGTTTACCCTACTCACTTTATGCACATTTTCAAAATGTATGCACATCTTGGATTTCCATTAAGTGTTTTTTTCTGAAATAATCCAAAATGTGCATAAAAACAGGTGGATGGAAACACAGCTAGCGAGGGCCTCAGAGGACGAGTTCTACCTTTGTCCAGGTGAGGACAGAATGACATCCAGCAGCTGAACCAGACCCTCCAGAACCTCAGCGGTGGCGTCCCTGACAGACCTCCTCAGTGTGACTCCTGGACACATGTGCGCACAAACACACACACGAAAAAATATATACACACACACACACACACACACACACACACACACACACAATCATGTACAGACACGTGCATACACAAATATCCACAAACATACACACACAATCATAAACAGAAGCACGCACACACAAAGAAACATTTACAAACATGCACAAAAAAACACACACAAACACACATAAACAAATACACACACATGCAAAATGGCACAGATACACACGGAAATACACACAACCAAACAAACACAAAAACGTGTATATATACACACACACATGCACAAACACAAAAACACAAACATGCATGCACAAACACACAATCATGTACAGACACGTGTATACACAAATATGCACAAAAACACACATACATCATGTACAGGCACGCATACACACAGAAACATGCACAAATATGCAGAAAAAAAAGACACAAACATACATAACACACATGCAAAAAGACACACACACACACACAAACACAGAAAACACAAACAAAAAAACACACACATTTGCACAAAATCACACGTCAGACACACAGAAACAGAAACACACATGCACACGCACACACACACACACAAACACAAACACGCACACACACAGAGACAGACACACACACACATACATACATACATACAAACACAGTCTAATGAGTTTCTCAATAATCAGGTCAGAGGTCATGAGACGGTTTGTGTAATCCACAAATGAGCAAATGCAGCTGAGCAGCTCCAGAAGAGCTTCATACTGAACACAGACACCACAGAACACTGCACTGCTTTTGATTTTGGACTTCAGTATCCTTGTAAAATTATGATTACGCTCAGTTTTCTTTTACGTTTTTAGAATTACTTAATTACGCACTAAATATTTACGATAGTGTTTTTATTTCATACATTTTTACAGCTTGAGCATGTGTGTGCGTGTGTGTGTGTGTGTGTGTGTGCGTGTGTGTGTGTGTGTATGTGTATATCTGTTACCTTGACTCTTTGGCAGCCAGAAGTAAACGGTGCACAAGGTCAACACACTCTTCTGCACACACTCCCCCATTTTTGCACAATCCTGAAGCGAAGAAACACAACAGCAGCAGCAGCAGCATTACTGATGGACAAATGACAGGATAGTTATAGTGATGTTCAGAAGGGGGTTAATCACACCTCGTCTGACGGCAGTGGCGGCTTGGAGAACATCAGGCTGAGTTTAGTCGCTTCTTGAGACACTGCTTTTACAGCTTCATCTGCGGAAAGAGAAGAGCTGGAGTGAGTCATTCAGCGATTCAGAAGAACAGGATTCAGAATCAAACACTGAACGAACTCAGAATCTCCCAGAAGTTGGCCAAGCTGAAGGTGCCGCTGCTGTCGTTGGACTCTCCATCTGCAAACACAATAAGAAACACTGTGAGCTTCAGCACATCACTGACAACATCTCATTCAAATTACTATTAACTATATCTGTAAAATTAGAGTAAACACCATCACTGACTAACTGACCAGCTAACTATATCTGTTAAACTAGAGTAAACATCATGACTAGCACTCTGACCAGCTAACTATATCTGTTAAACTAGAGTAAACATCATGACTAGCACTCTGACCAGCTAACTATATCTGTTAAACTAGAGTAAACATCATGACTAGCGCTCTGACCAGCTAACTATATCTGTTAAACTAGAGTAAACATCATGACTAGCGCTCTGAACAGCTAACTATCACCGGTTAAAGTGTTTTCGTGAGTGTTTTGGAAGTTTAGCCGTTAGCATTCCCACAAACACTGCTCAAATACACAATGAAACACGGAACACAGGACCACCATACCTCTCACTCGATCCCTGCTGCACTTCACCGAGTTCCAGAGGTTTCTCAGCGGAAGCAGCGCTTCTGAACGCGAGTTTTCGGCGCTCATGACGCGCTTTGCTTCAGTCTCGTGGAGCCGCGGAACGAAAGTCAAGCGGAACTAATATTGTCTGAGTGTGACCGGAATGAATCCGTCGCTGCACAGTCAGCTTGGTTGATACTTTTTGTGTTATTATTCGTATTATAAATAATTGAATGTTTGTTTGTAATTATATACATTTTGAAGTGTTAAACAAATATAATTGTTTACTTCTGTATTACTGGTGTAGTTTGGTCAATTGGTGAAGTTTGTTCCTCCGCTGTCGCCACTGGCTTGCCTGGTTCGGGACTTGTGGAGCTGTGGATGGATGGATTTGCTCTTCAGTGTTTGGACTCTCAGCAGTGTAGATTTAACCACACTGAACTGAACTAAGCAGAACTTCAACTCTGAACACTGGACTGAAACAGCTTTAATCTACTAGAACTTCTGTGTTCAGCTGCTGCGACTCAATGTACACAGTAGAAGCGCTAGAGGAGTTCAGATGAAGCTTACACACATTTTAGGACACGGTGTTTGTGGAGTTTTTGTGTCTTAATATATCCTAATGTATGGGTTTAATCATGAAAATACTTATAAATAAAAGATGATTAAATAAATAAACTGAATCTAGTCTTCTCTGTGTGGATGATTTTGGGCGGCAGGTGGCGCTCGACACCAGAGAACGAGTTTAATGGCCTGTTGACTATACATATTTACATATATCATGTTGACAATATATTTATTATAGTAACGTTACATGTGTATTAACCTAATTAGAATTACTTTATCCACAGTTTTGCCACAAATTCCATGGTTAAACTGTGGTTAGTGTAGCACATCATGGCTGATTTATGGTTAACATGAGGTCTATATACATGACCATGAAAAATACAGTATTTGGTCATTTGTTTATATTACTATAGTTGATGTGTTACCAGAGCAAATCACTAAAACACATCCAAGTGCTTTACTATAGTATGATTGAAGAACACGACAGTATTCACTGTAAATCACTACAGTATTTTCTGTCATGCAAGGAGAGCTGTGGTTCTTCTCATGCATTATTTTCTGTGTACTGCTCATATTTCCATATGTCCAGTTAATGATTTCAGATCATAATCGCTGGTAAACAAGATACAGAAACAGTTTTTTTCCTGCAGAGATGCTTGCATATGAATTGCACCACATGCTCAATAGTCTGAGCGTGTTCAGAGATTAATGTCTCACGAAAACACGTCCGCTCTCCCTCATGCTGAGCTCAGAACTCTTCCAGAATTACAGGAACATTTCAAGCATTTTTCATTAATTCAGCTTAAACTGGACTGATATAAAACAAATGCATGATTTACAGTAAACTGAATCCATTATTTAAGTAAAACAATGCAAAAGCTGAAAATATGTGATAGTAAGCTTTTGATTGAACACTCAGAAATAAAGGTACGTAATCTGTCACAGGGCTGGTACCTTTTCAAAAGGTACACATTTGTACCTAAAAGGTCTATATTAATGCCTCAAGGGTACATGTTAGTTCCTAAAATTTTAAGAGGAACACTTTTGTACTTTTTAGGTACTGATATGTACCCTTGAGGTATTAATATGGACCTTGTAGGTACAAATTTGTACCTTTCGAAAAGGTACCAGCCCTGTGACAGCTGGAGTACCTTTATTTCTGAGAGTGTATCACTAGCTGTGGTTTAAGTATTGTTAAACTTTTTAAACAGGAGTTGATGTAACAGAGTTGACATGTGCATTTCCTTCAGATTCATTCATTCATTAATTTTCCTTCAGCTTAGTCTCTTTATTTATCAGGGGTCACCACAGTGGAATGAACCGCCAACTATTCCAGCATGTTTTACACAGCGGATGCCCTTCCAGCTGCAACCCAGTGACACTCATACACAGTCATTCATACACACACTCATACACACCAGCCAATTTAGTTTATCAATTCACAGATAGCGCACTATGATTGGTGTTTCCTCAACATTAAGCACAAATAAATGAGGGAAGAATAACAACATGCCTCAGTGCCTTCAACAGTTTCACGCCACAGGATGTGACATCACTTGTAAAACGTTCTGTTTTTATCAGCACTTTACAGATTGTTCTGCCTTTTTATATCCAACATAAAAGAGTTGACCAGAACTACAATAGATGTTTCATGCAAGTATTAATAGAATAAACACATGCACAAACATTTTTTAGACTTCATTATTTGATGATAATTGAAGATTCAGGAGGCGAGGCAGTCACAAATAGCTATAGTGGGAGTCTTTAAGTTCATATTTAAGACAGAATGTCTTTAAACACACATGCAATCATTATTCTGTTTAGAAATAATTTGATTAATTTCAATAAAAATGTTTTTTATATATATATATATATATAAAATAAAAGGTTTATCTTGCTGAAGCAAAAACATGACCTCTGTGATTGTGTGAATGTGTGAATCTGACTCCTCTGTCGACTGAATCACTCATTCATTCAGATGATTCACTGAGTCTTCCAGCTCTGACTTGACAAAGATCTCAGAAGGATATCAGTGAAGTGTGTTATCAGCTTATCTTCACTATCTGTGGCAGATCATGTAATACAGCAATCAGCACTGCAAGAAAAACACCACCAACAGCAACTCATGATCAGCAGATTCATATGCATAGAGATAAACTGTGCTTCATAACCAATGATTTATTTAACCACAAATGACCATGGAGCACATAATGGCACAAGTATATTACAGACAAGCATCAAACATGAAGAAATACTAAAGCAATTATTAGTAAATAGTAGTGTTTTGACCCAGGCAAAAGGAAAGTGTTTTATACTGTATACATTTGATAATGCATGGAATATTAACTAGGTATATGTATATTTCACATGTCTATTCATTTTTACAGTCTGAAGAACATTTCTCTGGTTGATAATTCACATTAGATCTTTACTATATACATATGCAGTGCTGGTGGCACGGTGGCTCAGTGGTTAGCACTGTGGTTTCACTGTAAGACTCTGCTTCGAGTCCTGTCCACTGTTCGCCACAGTGGAATGAGCTGCCAAATAAGCCTTGGAATGAGCCGGGACTACAACCAGCCACCTTCTCGCAGTGAAGCCACAGTGCTAACCACTGAACCACCAAGCCACTCACGTGCTCAGCATTTTGTTTAATTAATATTTGTATTAATTTCTCAGTGACTATAGACAATAATATTCGGTGGATTTAGACAAAACAGTTTTATAAAACTGTCATATTTAATAAATTAAGAACACAATTAAATTAAATCCAGTTATCGCAAATTCAGTTTGATATTTTTTATGTTTCTCCTGTTTTTTTCTGTTTATTCAAGTTTTATTGAATACTTTTCCTCAACATTAATTTGTAAGTGTAATGTTTTATTCTGTGATCTTCAGTTGATCAGTTTTGTCTGTGTCTGCACAGATATCTTACCGTAGAGCATTCTGAAGAGAATATTACTGTAACAGACAGATCTGTGAAGGCTTAACTCATTTATGCACTATAGCTATTGATCAAACCTTTAACTTTTATTAGAGTCATAACCGTTATCTGTGTGTCCATACTGTATGTTCTTTCAGAGCGTCCCGACAGTGATGTTGTGTAAGATGCAGAGGTGAGAGTTTCACTGGTAAAGCAGTGAATGAGTGCTGAGCCACAGACAGAGGTGTTGTTTAACCCTCAGCTGTTATTGACTCGGTTTATCTCAGCTTATCAGATGTTTTTGAGAAAAGCCGGTGTTAAAGCCATCCGCTTCTTATCTTTTCTGTGTTTTGCACTCTTTGTGACTTAAGGCTTTGCAGTAGAGGCTCTTTAACCAAAACAAGTAGAGGTCTTCAGATAAGCTGTCACGTACTCTTCTGTCCTGCTCTACATCTGTGTGTTTTTGTGTTTGTTTTGAACTTATGACAGGTCACACACACACATTCATGATGCTCCATGTAAATAGTATCCGGAAACAATGAATAGACTTGACAATTTATGATCTATAAATGTGTGAATTGAGTGAAATGTAATTTGTTTTATTCTGTAAACTCATTACAATCTTCCAGATTTATTATACAAATATTGTCATTTGTCATTCATTCATTTTCCTTCTGCTTTTATTTATCAGGGGTCGCCACAGTGAAATGAACCGCCAACTATTCCAGCATATGTTTTATGCAGCGAATGCCCTTCCAGCTGGAACCCAGTACTGGCAAACACCAATACACACACACACACACACACACACACACACACACACACACACACACACACACACACACACACACACACACACACACACACACACACTCATACACTACGGTCAATGTAGTTGATCAGTTCCCCTATAGCGCATGTGTTTGGACTGTGGGGGAAACCGGAGCACCCGGAGGAAACCCACGCCAACACGGGGAGAACATGCAAACTTCACACAGAAACACCAACTGACCCAACTGAGACTCGAATCAGCGACCTTCTTGCTGTGACATGACAGTGCTAATCACTGAACCACCGTGCCGCCCTCTTCTCATCAAAGTTCTTCCAAATTTTATAATATAAACATTGTTATTGGGGGCGTCACGGTGACGCAGTGGGTAGCACGATCTTCTCACAGCAAGAAAGTCGCTGGTTCGAGTCCCGGCTGGGTCAGTTGGTGTTTCTGTATGGAGTTTGCATGTTCTCCCTGTGTTGGCGTGGGTTTCCTCCGGTTTCCTCCGCAGTCTAAACACATGTGCTATAGGGCAATTGGGTAAGGTAAATTGGCTGTTCAAGTGTGAATGAGTGTGTATGGGTGTTTCCCAGCGATGGGTTGCAGCTGGAAGGCCATATGCTGTATAAAACATATTCTGAATAAGTTGGCGGTTCATTCCACTGTGGCGACCCCAGATTAATAAAGGGACTAAGCGAAAAAGAAAAAAATGAATGAACATGGTTATTTGTCATTAAATTTATAGTAAATTAAAATCATTTATCAGTTTTGTTCCTTCATACGTATATATTTATGAAAAACGCAAAGCTGATATGCAGATGAAACATTACAACTTTAATTTTTAGATGTCTTTGTAAATTACACTTCCATTAATGTCAACTTTTTCATATTACTCTTGCATCTAAAACTTTATAGTTTTAAAGAAGTTTTAATTAATTCTGTTGTTCAAGTTATGATTGTTCAAGTAATCTTGTCTTTAATAATGTTCTCAACATGTTAGTACACAATAAAACATTACTGCATGCGGATAAAACTGTTCTAGGGCTGTTTTCTCTCCAATGTTTCAGTTGGACATTGATATGGCTTTATACTGTTTTTCAAAAAACATTCTAAAGTAATGTTTGCGATCGCTTAAGGACTGCAAAAAAAAAAAAAAAAGCAAACAAATATGTTCATTCTCATCTTATGTTCATAATCATTTTAAAATTAGATTCTAAGAAATTCAGACAGCATAACTTAAATGGCCATCTATGTATTTAACAGACACTTTAATTCATGTTTTTAAGCTCAAAGCATATTTTAGCATGTTTGATTTTCTCACTAATGATTATTTTTTAATTTAATGTATTAACTGTAAAATGTTCATAGTGAAATTAACGCATTCAAATGAAATGAAAGTTCAAAATGATATATAAGTATATTTAATAAATACACCTCATTAACTTCTCTGATAGATTGAGTGCAGTGTGAGATTTATTCAATGAATGAAGAGTATAGTTTTAATGTGTGAATGAATGAATGATTCAGCTTGACCTGTTCACCGTGTGCTCTGTACTGCTGGCGAGCCTCCAGCGAGCGGCCAATCAGAGCGCGCGGCGGGGCATGACGTCACGCGGTGATGCTGCAAGTTTAGCGTTGCATCACGATGGAGCGGCAGGTCAAAGGTCACGTGGTCAGACTCGGGTCCAATCGAGTGTTTCCCCAAAACTACAGTCCAATGTTTTAATGATTGACTGAACATACGACGCGTGTTCCGCGGGTTAATCATTCATGTGTGTGTGTGTGTGTGTGTGTGTGTGTGTGTGGGTGTATATAAGGTCTGACTGGCACACAGTGAGCAGAACACAGATGAACATCATCATCATCATCATCACCACAGACTGATGAAGAGCTGCTAAACCTTCACTCAAGGTGAGCTATTACATTTTTCTGTGCTTATGAATAATATTTTAGTGCTTATGAATATTAATATGACTCTATGCATGTATTTGCATGTGTGTGCATTTTTGTGTTCAAGTGTGTTGAAGGCAGATTTATTCGCTCCTGTTTAATCTAAATTCTTTTATATTCTTCCTCAAACTCTGTTTATCAGAGAACAGATTTTACACACTTATGAACTTATACACATTTATGAGCATGAAAGTTTTACAAACTATCTTCTAATAACCGATTAATTTTCTCTTCACCATGATGACAGTAAATAATATCAGACTAGATATTGTTTAAGACACTAATATTCAGTTTACAGTGAAAATTAAAGGCTTCACTAGGGTAATTAGGGTGGTCATTGAATAACAGTGGATTATTTGGTAACTCTTAACAATAAAGCTGTATTTGTTAATGTATTTTCTAACATGAACAATACATCTAGTACAGTATTTGTTCATGTTAGTTAACGCTAGTTATTAATGGAAATGCAGCTGTTCATTAGTTTAAGTTAACTCACAGTGCATTAACTAATGTAACATGCATGTAGTACCTTAATAATGCATTACACTGTAAAAACCCTGGTTCACAATCAGAATAACCCCATGAGTCCACGAACTTATATTATGTTAAACTGACTTAAAACAGCCTGTGTAACTTATAAAATTAAGTTATAACCTAAATAACTTAGTTTAATACGTTATGATGAGCTAAAAACACTTGCTGTCAGGACTAATTGATCATATATTTTTTTACAGTGTAGTAAATGTTGAACGGTGAGTAATAAATGCTCTACAAGTATTGTTCATGCTTTCTTCATGTTAATACATGCATTTAACAACATTAACTAATGAAACCTTATTATAAAGTGTGACCGTTTGTTCTGTAGACAATCCAGAATTAATATTGCTTAATTGCTAATAATGTTGAGCTTAAAATGGGTTTAAAACAATTAAATCCTGCTTTTATTCTAGCTTAAATAAAACAAATAAGACTTTCTCCTGAATATATATATATATATATATTATATATATATATATATATATATATATATATATATATATAATATATATATATAAATATTAGAGGAAATACTGAGAACAGTTCCTGAATCTGTTCAACATCATTTGGGAAATATTGGAAAAAGAAAACAAAAATCACATGAGCACAAAAAATTCTGACTTCAGCTGTACGTAATAAATATAAATAACACACACACATTTATAGTATATATAAATATATATAACAAATATGCTGACCTCTGATTAATAAATGGACTAAGTCGAAAATGAATGAATGATTGACTCATGTCTATAAGCGAGGTGTGCTCACTCATGCTCACCCCTGTATTACTGCACACAAGTGAATCCTTCTATTGTGTTGTGTGTCTGCAGGCTCTCTCTCTCTCTCTCTCTCTTGGTCAGCATCTCTCCATCCCTCCGCTCATCATGCCTCCTCAGCTGCAGTCTCAGGACCGGTCATGCCCGCGGGTCCTGCAGGGCGATCTGGCGTCTCTGAGCGCCAGCGTGCGGGAGTTCATCGACAGCAGTGTGAGTCTGTGCCAGCCGGACGCTCTGCACATCTGTGACGGCTCCGAGCAGGAGAACAGCACCATCCTCAGCCTGCTGGAGGAGCAGGGCGCCATCAAGAGGCTGCGCAAGTACAGCAACTGGTACGACGCACACGTCAGTCATTATACAAGAACTAGCATGCGCAGTGCAGTACTTCATTATACAACAGCTGTGTTACCATAGCAACTGTAGAATCACCACAACAGATCAATTACTGTAGTGGTTGTGTTACCATAGCAACTGCAGAATCCCCACAACAGATCAATTACTGTAGTTGTTGTGTTACCATAGCAACTGCAGAATCACCACAACAGATCAATTATTGTGGTGGTTGTGTTACCATAGCAACTGCAGAATCACCACAACAGATCAATTACTGTAGTGGTTGTGTTACCATAGCAACTGTAGAATCACCACAACAGATTAATTACTGTAGTGGTTGTGTTACCATAGCAACTGCAGAATTACCACAACAGATCAATTACTGTAGTGGTTGTGTTACCATAGCAACTGTAGAATCACCACAACAGATCAATTACTGTAGTGGTTGTGTTACCATAGCAACTGTAGAATCACCACAACAGATCAATTACTATTGTTGTTGTGTTACCATAGCAACTGTAGAATCAGTTTGATTGATGCAATTTTACCTTGGATGTGATTGCGTCAGACATCACTATAGATAGAGAGTTAGTAAGTGTGTGTGTGTAACCGCTGGTGTTCCTGTAGCTGGTTGGCGCGCACTGACCCACGTGATGTGGCCCGTGTGGAGAGTAAAACGGTGATCGTGACGGCGGAGCAGCGGGACACGGTTCCCACACCGACTGGAGGAGGAGTCAGTCAGCTGGGCCGCTGGATGTGTCCTGAGGAGTGGGACAAAGCCATGAACCTGCGCTTCCCTGGCTGCATGAAAGGTACACTCGAGTGTGTGACAGCTGATATTAGGGTGTGTGTGTGTAACCTGATATTGAAGTGAAGCGATATGAAGTGTGTGTGTGTGACAGATATGATCATCTAGGTATTACAAAACTGAATTGGTAATAATAAGCTGCTGTTACAGTATAACATACATTACGCCTATAGAGTCCTCATAAACCACCAATACCAACATGTGTGTGTGTGTGTGTGTGATGGTTGAGCTGAGTTGTGTGGATTAATTATGAACTGTACTAATGACAGGACTAAGTGTGTATGGACTGGTACAGTCTGTTAGATGACATGTTTATGGGAATGTAATCGGAGTACTTTTGGATTACCTTTAGATTACTTTAGCGCTGACCTCTATTTGATGTCAGCAGGATGATCTTGTGCTATTTACACACATGTAGAATCCAAGTTCAAATCAAAAAGTTCAGAATTAATTAGAAGCTACCCTACACTAAAAAGTACATAGATTTTTAAAATGTGTGTGTGTGTGTGTGTGCAGGGCGTGTGATGTACGTGATCCCCTTCAGCATGGGGCCGGTGGGCTCTCCGCTCTCCAAGATCGGGGTGGAGCTGACGGACTCGCCGTATGTGGTGGCCAGCATGCGGATCATGACGCGGATGGGGAAAACTGTGCTGAGCGCGCTGGGAAACGGAGAGTTCGTCCGGTGTCTGCACTCAGTCGGCTGCCCGCTGCCACTCAGGAGTATGTACTGGAGAGTGTGTGTGTCTGTGTGTGTTAAATTTGTGAACTAGCATGTACTGACCTCTGTGTGTGTGTTTTAGAGCCGCTGGTCAACAACTGGCCCTGTAACCCGGAGCTGACGCTGGTGGCCCACATCCCGGATCAGAGGAAGATCGTGTCGTTCGGCAGCGGATACGGAGGAAACTCACTGCTGGGGAAGAAGTGCTTCGCTCTGCGCATCGCATCACGCATCGCTAAAGAGGAGGGCTGGCTGGCAGAACACATGCTGGTGAGTGGACGAACACACACACACACACACACACACATGCAGAAGCAGAACACATGCTGCTCAGCGGAGAAAACACACACACAACTGCAGAGTCATTCTGACTGGGCAGACCTCACTAAACACTGACAGATGGAGCGTTAACACACACATGCATGTACACACACACACACATATGCACACACACATGTTTACACTTCTTTCAATGCAGTTTGTACAGTATCACAGTTATTATTTTAATATGGGGTTATCAGAGAATAACGAACCTTCAGATGTTGTGATGGACCAATCAGAATCTAGTATTATATTGATTGTATGAAGCAGTAATTAATGTAAACAGCTCTACACAAATGAACTTGAGTTAAAGTGTGCTGAATTTCCCCTGCAGATTCTGGGCATCACCAACCCGGCGGGACAGAAGAAGTATTTCGCAGCGGCGTTCCCCAGCGCCTGCGGGAAGACCAACCTGGCCATGCTGAAGCCGTCGCTGCCCGGCTGGAAGGTGGAGTGTGTGGGAGACGACATCGCATGGATGAAGTTCGACAAAGAAGGTACAGAGACAAACACACACACACACACACACACACAGCATTCTGGATTACTGGATTTAGCTCACGTTCTGCTTATCATAACTCAATCTTCATTCTACAGCTCTTCTAGTAAATGAAAGTCTTTTAGATCTGTACATATCAAACGCTTGTTTTTGGGCCAGTAAGAATATCCTGAGCTCAAACTGTGGATCTCCAGGACTGAGAGTTTATTTGATGGTTCTTTCTTCATGTTTCCTCAGGGAATCTGAGAGCCATCAACCCAGAGAACGGCTTCTTCGGTGTGGCTCCGGGAACCTCCAGCAAAACCAACCCCAACGCCATGAGCACCATCAGCTGCAACACACTCTTCACCAACGTGGCGGAGAGCAGTGACGGAGGGGTGTTCTGGGAGGGCATGGATGAGGATCTGCCTGAAGGAGTGACGCTGACGTCCTGGAAGAACCAGCCCTGGACACCAGAGGACGGTGAGTGACATCTGAAATGATCAGCTTCATCTTTAACTGTTCACTCTTCCTCAAGAGGTCGTAATCCCTCAGGAGTTTCATTCCTCTGCTGAACATAAAGGAAGATATTTGGAAGAATGCTGAAAACCCAATGTAGGAAAAGCAAATAGAGTCAATGAATACAGGTTTGGAGATTTCTTCAAAATATCTTCTTCTGTGTCTAATAGAAGAAAGAAACTTGGTAAAGGATGAGGGAATGTTCAGTGTTGAGTGACCTGTCTCTTTAAGAGAGTTCAGATAAATTAAGTGACACTTAAAGGGTCAGTTCACACAAAATATGAGCATTTACTCACTCTCTACTCTCCCTCTAGTGGTTATAAACCTTGCTGAGTTTCTTATTCTGTCGAACACTGAAGCAGATGTCAGAACATGTCAGTTCAGAAATGCAGTAGTCAACATTTGTGGATCAAAAGTAGACCATGAACCGGCGACAGCAATGCAACCGGCGATATTATTATTATTTCCTAAAATGATTTATGAATTAATAACCCTGTTTGTTTGATCTGCTTGTTGACTAGTGTGTTATGATAATGCTGGTGGTGCTGACGCGTGTGTGTGTGTGTGTCCTCCAGGTGAACCGTGTGCTCACCCGAACTCCCGCTTCTGTACGCCGGCCGCTCAGTGTCCCATCATCGACCCGCAGTGGGAGTCTCCTGAAGGCGTCCCCATCGAGGCCATCATCTTCGGCGGGCGGCGTCCGCAGGGCGTCCCGCTGGTGTACGAGGCCTTCGACTGGGCGCACGGAGTGTTTGTAGGGGCGTCCATGAGGTCAGAGGCCACGGCGGCTGCTGAACACAAAGGTATTCACAGTACACAACAAGACTCACTCACTTTACACTCATTATTTCAGGAAACAAGACAATATTTCTCAGATATTTAGACTAGAAACAAGACAAAAACTCTTCATATATTTTTATATTTAATAATCTGCCAATCTGTTAAGCAGAATAATCTAGTGTTTCCTTTTGACATATTATTTCTCTTCCACCATTGTCAGATTATTTAGCTTGTTTCAAGATCAAATTGACTATCATATAGATATTTTATTGCTGGTCTTAATTTAAAGATTTTATTTTAGACATTTAGACTAGAAACAAGACAAAAACTCGCAGTTTTGCAGCACAATTTATCCTGAATAGTTAGTAACTGCATCATTATTAAAGATTATTGTGTGTGTGTGTGTGTGTGTGTGTGTGTTCTTCAGGTAAAGTGATCATGCATGACCCGTTCGCCATGCGTCCGTTCTTCGGCTATAACTTCGGTCAGTATCTCTCCCACTGGCTGAGCATGGAGCAGCGGCCCGGCGCTAAGCTGCCCAAAATCTTCCACGTCAACTGGTTCGGCAGGAGCTCCTCGGGGCGCTTCCTGTGGCCGGGCTTTGGGGAGAACATCCGCGTACTGGAGTGGATGTTCGGCAGGCTGAGCGGAGGGGCCGAGGCGAGGACCACTGCGGTGGGGCTGGTGCCTGCAGACGGTGCCCTGAACCTGCACGGGCTCCCGGATGTGGAGCCGCTGGAGCTCTTCAGGGTCTCGCAGGAGTTCTGGATGCAGGAGCTGCAGGAGATCAGAGAGTATTTCAGCCGTGAACTGAACCGAGACCTGCCGCAGGAGATGCAGAGACAGCTGGAGCTGCTGGAGCACAGGCTCACACACACACACGTGAGCAGTAAACACGGCTGAAGACACGCAACACACACATGTTAATCTGCATTATGCACACTTAAAGGGACGGTGCACTCGAATATTAAAAATATGTCATCGTTTGCTCTCAAGTGCATCAAAACCGTTCTTTAGTTTCCTTCTGTTGAACACAGAAGAAGATATTTTGAAAAATGCTGAAGATTGTTCACTTCCACAGTATTTAATTTCTTTCCCTCTTTTTGTTTACTTTTTATTTAGTGTTTTTTCTTTTGTGTGTGTGTGTGTGTGTTTACTGAGAAAACTCATTTAAAGAGACAGAACACACACAATAATCAGCATTTATGCACAGTTAAAGGGACGGTGCTCTCTAAAATGAAAAATATGTCACCATTTGTTTTAACCCTGAACACAAAAGAAGATATTCAGAGAAATGCTGAAGATCGTTGGCGTCTTCAGGAAGGACTGTTTGTTATTTAACCTTATAAATTATTGATGCGCACATTTATTTTCTGCTGGAGATGTTATGGCGGATACCTTTAAGCAACCTTCTCATTTTTAAATGTGGTAATTTATTTTTCTATGTATTTCTATGTCAGTCTTCCATGATATTAATAAAGTTTTTAAATATACCTCCCACTGTCTGTGTTGTTCTTGATCTCAGTATTTACTGAAAGTGAGCTTTATTCATTATTCTGCTTAATGTGGAGATATATATATATATATATATATATATATATATATATATATATATATATATATATATATATATATATATATGAAATCAATTAAATGAATAATACTATAATATATACAACAAAATATACAAAACTGACTTTATATACATAAAAAGCACAAAGTCCAAGTGTTTTTCAGAGAGCTTTAGTGAAAGTTAAAGAGTAAAATATGAGTGAAGTGTTGTTTCATTGTCATTGGGTTTAACGGAGATGCTCAGGTCAAAATGAAGCATTATTCAGAGCTGATCATACTAAATGTGATTCTATAATGAAAATCATCAAGTCAAATGTGTAAAAGCTAGAAGTTTGAAGAATAAAGACTTCACATGACAATTAATCAATATTTTGGGGGTCAGATAGTGAAATTCTTGCTTTAAATCAGGGCTGTTCACACTCGGTCCTGGAGTGCGGGTGTCCTGCATATTTTAGTTCCAACCTCAATTAAACACACCTGAATCAGCTAATCAAGCTCTCTCTCGGTATACTAGAACAGGGATGGGCAAACGTGATCCTCGAGGGCTGGTGTCCCTGCAGAGTTTTGTTCCAACACTAGTCAAACACACCTGAACATGCCAATCAGTGTCTTCAAGATCACTAGAAGTCTATAAGCAGGTGTGTTTGATTAGAGTTGGAGTTAAACTGTGCAGGACACCGGCCCTCCAGGACTGAGTTTGGACACCCCTGCTCTAAATCTTTGACAGTCACTAATATTACATTGAATGATATTTCAGTGGCTGTCTGTTCAAAATGATGGAGAAAAAAATGGATAATAGATGCCTATTTATTTATTTACTTACATACCAATCAGTCAATCAATCAATTAATCAATCAATCAGTGGGTAGCACGATCACCTCACAGTAAGAAGGTCTCTGGTTTGAGTCTCAGCTGGGTCAGTTGGTGTTTCTGTGTGGAGTTTGCATGTTCTCCCCGTGTTGGAGTGGGTTTCCTCCGGGTGCTCCGGTTTCCCCCACAGTCCAAACACATGCGCTATAGGGGAACTGATCAACTACACTGGCCGTAGTGTATGAGTGTGTGTGTGAATAAGTGTGTATGGGTGTTTCCCAGTACTGGGTTGCAGCTGGAAAGGCATCCGTTGCATAAAAACATATGCTAGATAAGTTGGCGGTTCATTCCGCTGTGGCGACCCCAGATTAATAAAGGGACAGCTGACAAGAAAATGAATGCATGAATTATTAGTCAAACTGTTTACAGTTCAAGGCAGCATTATCCACCCTTCTGTGACATTTCAACTCCTTTTCAAACATTTTGCTGTTTATGAACAGACTTCTTTAACACACTTTTACTTTTAATAACTCATTTCAATATTAGACTAGATATTCTGAGACGCTAGTTTCCAGCTTAATGTCACATTAAAAGGCTTCTCTAGGTTCATTAGGTTTTTGAGGACGGTTGATTATAAAGTGTGTTCATCATGCTGTCCCGGGAGAGAGCCCTGAGCTCATAAGATCCGCGAGCCTGGGGCTCCCTCCCGTTTGCAGGATGAGAGGGGAGTTTGAGCTCAGGTAGATGTGGAGAACTCCCCTGCTGTAGTAGATGATGAACAGATAGTGATCACTCTTAAGAGAGAACTACTGACTAGCAGCATGTCTATAGTGCTGATGTGGATTAGTCAGTTAACTTAAGCTGCATGTTTCTGGATGGTGGGAGGAAACCGGGTAACCCGGGGGAAACTCATGTAAACACGGGGAGAACTTCGCACAGAAATGTTGGCTGGCTTGGTAAGGACTAAAACCAGTGACGTTCTTGCTGTGGGGCAACAGCGATAACCACTGGGCCACCGTGCCACCATCTAGGAAAGCAGGAGGAGTAGGGGTGGAAGGGGGGATTCTTCACAATGAAGATGGCTGTGATATGGAGCTGAGGGTATTTATAGTGGATTAGGAATCGTCTGATTGGTCAATCACAAATTAAATAATGCAGGACCGGCTGTGGTCAATCATATGCACGTGATCCTCTTGAAATTAGTTTATAAATAAACTTCACTAAGTTGGGGTAATTAGGCAAGTCATTGTTTGTTCTGGAGACAATCCAACACTAATATTGCTGAAGGGGCGAATAATATTGACTTTAACATGGGTTTAAAACAATTAAAAACTGCTTTAGTTTTTAATTAAATTAATTAATTAATTAATTAATTAAGAATAAATAATGCACAAGAGGGTGAATATTCTGCTCTTAACTGTATGCATTGTGTGTGTATATATATATATATATACGTACATAATATCTCAATCTGCTGATGACGCTCGTCAGTCTTGTGCAAGACTCTGATCATGCAGAACTTGGGAGAGTGTTATCAGGAGCAGAGCATGCTGGGTAACTGGGCCACACACACAGGTGACGTCAGTGAGAGCGGCAGATGACGAGCACACTATCTAGAGGACAGAGGTTTGGAGCGCAGCCATGAGCAGAGATTGAGGACAGATAGCAGCACATGCTTATCATTATTATTCAGTTATCATTTAAATAACTGATTTGCATATTCATCAGCAATAAGTCTTGATTGATTCGGTCTCAGGCATTTGATTAAGATCATCATCAGCCGCTGCTCAGCTCGGCATGTTTACACTTGTTCACTTTAACTTATTCAGGAAATATTTCCACAATGGACAGATTCGTGCTGATTCTTGGGTCAAAAACGGCTGATCTTAAGTTCAAGTTCAACGCTGATATAATTATGAGTTGTTGAATTAATGCATGACAAATATTTAGAAAATTACATTCATCAGTTTGTTAATTTATATTAATAAGTGTGCGTGAGTGTAAAATTATGTGTTTGTGTGTGCAAAACAGTATGAGTGCAAGTGTGTGTGTGTGTGTGTCTTGTCCTGGTATTCCTTTGTTGTGGGGTTTACGGTCCCCACAAGTATAGTAATTCCAGTACATGTTGACCGTTTAAGGACATGTTTTGGTCCTTACGAGTAAACATGCGCCTAAATCAGGCAGAATGAAGCATGATGAAGATGTAACAGTGCAGATTGTTTGCCGTGACGGTTGAGTTTAGAGAATATACAGTCTGTACAGTAGAAGCATCAATGATAAGACCCCATAAAACATGAAACCCAACATGTGTGTGTGTGTGACACTAGTACAGATCTCTGAATGAACACACTGTTCCTGCGGGTGCTTTATTGGAGCAGATCTTCATCCTCATTGGCAGAAGCGCAGTGTTATCTGCTCATGACTGTGTTTCGACACCGCAGCAGAGTTTATGAGGAGCAGCAGTTCACACTCGACAACATGCACATAAAGAAATAAAGTTAACGTAGACCTTTCTACATATTCAAGTAGATTAAACATAAAACAATTCAGTTATTTCCAGAAAAACCTCAAGAATTGTGTTGTTTAAGATAAGTGGTTTAAAAAAACAGCAAACTTTATTTTTTGAGTTGAGTTGAGATGAGAGATCTGCTGACAGAGCACACATCACACACTCATCTGCAGGAATACTAGCAGCGTTTACACATTCATGACAGCAGATGAGGAGGCCAGAGCAGCTTCCACAAACTGAAATATATACTGTACATCAAATACAGCTGAAGTCGAAATGATTCAGGAAGTATTTGCTGTTATATGTTATGTTTATTTTGGGGAAAGTTTTATTTCTTTAGTTTGGCTGGAATAAAAGTTTTTATGTTTAATATTATTCGCCCCCTTAAGAAATCCTTTTTAGATTTCTAAAAAATCTAGTGTTGTTTTCTGAAATATTGAGCCAAAATGAAGAGCGTTTTTCATTAAAACAAGCAAAATAATCTGACAATAAATCCTGTTTTTCCTTTGACAAATGTATTATTCTGCTTGTTTTAATGAAAAGCTCACTTCATTTAGACTCACTATTCCTGAAAAACAAAGACAATATTTGTTGCGTGTCCAGAAAATGCTTCCTGATTTAAAAGTTTATAGATTTGGACTAGAAACAAGACAAAAACTCTAGGTAAGAGCAGCTCTTCTGCAGTGTGTGTCTAGATATTTTCCTGTGCATACTAGAACATGAAGTACAAAACCTTGATTTTACTAGTAAAAGCCTGAGTTTAGTGCAGGAGTGATGGAAACACACACACACACACACACACACACACACGTCTTACATAACTCACGGGTGCACGGGTTCAGTGTGCTCTGTGTGACGTCAGCACAGAAGTGTGTTAGTAATAGTTAGCAGGTGAAGAGAGTTGCACAATGCTGACACACACACACACACACACACACACACACACACACACACACACACACACACACACACACACACACACACACACACACACACACACACACACACACACACACACACACACACACACACACACACACACACACACACACACACACACACACACACACACACACACACACACACACACACACACACACACACACACACACACACTCTCTCGCTCTCTCCGTTCCCTCAACCAGTCTGAACTGGACAGTTCTGGAGAACCGCAGCTTTAATCTGGAAAAGAGCCTTTCTGTCTCATTTAAACCATAAAAACAATTTCTGTTGGTGCACAGAAATCTGATTATATATATATAAAAACTTGCTGGATAAGTTGGCAGTTCATTCCGTTGTGGCGTGACCCTGGATTAATAAAGGGACTAAGCCGACAAGAAAATGAATGAATGATGTATATATAAATGTTATTTTGCATGTAAATTCCATCTCTTAATATTTGTGAAATTCAATTATATGAACTTGTATATTAAATAAGAGAGATTTCCAAATACAGCCACATTTTTGAATTATTTCTGTGCATTTTATTTCTCTATAATCATTAAAACCCTCACACACTTAACAGCTCCCTATACTTCAGACATCTCCATTACAGTTTTGAATGATTACTAAATGATTTCTGGTTAATTCTGCATTCAATTATCAAAACAGTAGGAGAAAGTCAACAGTTAAACTGGCAGTGAATTCACTAGAAATAACAGAACATCTGCACATGAACAGTGAATCAAGGATCTTTAGCACACACAGTATAAATGATGAATATGAATGTGCTGCAGGGTATTTGTATGCATTTCAATGCCTGCACATACTTCCTTCTAAATCCTTTTTATGTGTATAAATGACATTATTTTATTCATCTGTGGTGGTAAATGAACACTGAATCACAGGAAGGTGTTTTGCAGACAGGTCGGCTGGTGTGTTAGGCCTGCAAACCTTACAAGCTCCTATTGAGCATGAAATGTAGACGAGATATTATCATGTTCACTTCTCCTCAGTCTAGTTGGTGTCAGATTGAGTCAGGCTCTACTGCATGTAGTACTTTGCTCTTCTCCCTGATAAACTTTACCACCAACCCTGCGCTCACATCTGAACCCTGGAGACGTGGACTCGAATAAGACAACTCTGGGTGGCTCACCCGCAGCATTATCAACAATCATTAATCTAACCAGCTAAAAGTGACCGAAACTGACCAGCGTTGAAGATTAGGGGATACGAGAGTTGGGGGAAGATTGGGCAAGTCTGCTTCCAGCAGCTGATTTCAGGTATCATGGTAGCTCAGTGCTGTCACACTGTCACCTTACAGCAAGAAGATAGCTGGTTCGAGTTTCTGTGTGGAGTTTGCATGTTCTCCTCATGTTGGTGTGGGTTTCCTCCGGGTGCTCCGGTTTCCCCCACAGTCCAAACACATGCGCTATAGGGGAACTGATCAACTACACTGACCGTAGTGTATGAGTGTGTGAGAATGAGTGTGTATGGGTGTTTCCCAATGCTGGGTTGCAGCTGGAAGGGCTGTGTAAACCATATGCTGGAATAGTCTGCGGTTCATTCCGCTGTGGTGACCCCTGATATATATGAATGAGTGAATAAAGCAGCTGATTTCTGTATTTAGTTCACAGAGATCAGAACATTTTCGGTACCTCCAACTAGATGACTTTGCAAGAACACACACAACCCTATTCCCACAACAACGCCTCACAGGATAGATCTGGTCATCAAAGCTGAAACCTTGTCAAGAGGCCGTATCTCATATTTATATGATTCACTCAGTTCAGCTTATGAATCTTTCCTAAATAAGATTAAAATTGACTGAGAATTGGCGATGCAGTGGCGCAGTGGGTAGTGCTGTCACCTCACAGCAAGAAGGTTGCTGATTTGATCCTCGGCTCAGTTGGTGTTTCTGTGTGGAGTTTGCATGTTCTCCCCATGTTGGTGTGGGTTTCCTCCGGGTGCTCCGGTTTCCCCCACAGTCCAAACACATGTGGTACAGGTGAACTGGGTAGGCTAAATTGTCTGTAGTGTATGAGTGTGTGTGTGAATGTGTGTGTGTGGATGTTTCCCAGAGATGGGTTGCAGCTGGAAGGGCATCCGCTGCGCAAAAACTTGCTGGATATGTTGGCGGTTCATTCCCCTGTGGCGACCCCGGATAAATAAAGGGACTAAGCCGACAAGAAAATGAATGAATGGACTGAGAATCAGAACTTCAGCTGAATCTCTCCCGGGTTTTCTGGGAGGAGGCCCTAAATGCTGTCAGTTCATCATCCAGATGTGCCAGATGATCACTCATACAATTGAAGCATTTTATAGCCAAGAAAACTCTCAAATCTGGACCCTGACAGCAGATAATGAGTGCATCACAGCTGTTCACAGATCAGTGCAGCCTCAGCCAAGAGCTCTGGTCATGTCCAAAACTGTGTGAATTAATCAGGCGCTTATTTATATATATATATCTCAGACACACTAGGCATTAATCAGTCATAACACTGCTTTTGGTAAACCCACAGATGACTTTCACATCACAAACATTCAAAACAATGCCATCGCCTCCTCCATTGCCCTTAAGAGAATCCTCTAAATCAGGGGTGTCCAAACTCAGTCCTGGAGGGTCGGTGTCCTGCAGATTTTAGCTCCAATTTGCTTCAACACACCTGCAAGGATGTTTCTAGACTGCCTAGTAAGAGCCTGATTAGCTAGGCCAGCTGTGTCTGATTGGGGTTATAGCTAAACTCAGCAGGACACCGGTTCTCCAGGACCGAGTCTGTACACCCCTGCTCTGAATGAGATTAGTAAAGCATGCAGACTCACCTGATATGAGGAACAGCAGATTTGTCATAATGAAGAGGTAAAATGAGTCTGTCTGACACCTGCTGGACCGAAAAATGAAGCTGACAGAAACACATGAGCTGATGTGATGTCGTACAGCGCCACCTGCTGGACCTACAGCTCAAACACTGCAGATCCGCAGTGGATCTGCAGGATACAGCTGCGGCCTAATAAACTGCACATTTTAACGTCAACACCACAGGTCTCAAACTGGATTCCTGGAGGGCCGCAGCTCTGCACAGTTTAGCTCCAACCCTATCAAACACAGCTGATCCACTAATCAAGCTGATCAAGACACTAGAGACTATTATGCTGGTGTGAGTTGGAGGTGGTTAGAGCTGAACTGTGCAGAGTTCGAGACCACCAACCCTCACAGTAATATGAAAACAGTATTTATATGCTGAGTATTATAAATATTATTTATTAAAATACCTATTAAATTTTACTTTATTAACATCCACTCCTACCTCAAACCTCACAGTATTGTAAACATATGAAAGATTGTTGTACAGTGTCACAGAAATGCTAGAATGCAAATATCAGCAGCTGTATCCCTTCTAGAGGAGTGAGGAGTAGGTGTAGACGTTAGTAAAAGACAATTTAAATGGGTAATTTAATAAATAAGAGTTCAAAATAAAGTAAATAACAGCTGCATCCCATCTAAGACAGAGCAGATATTAAACAGTAAGTTCTAGAAATTATAATTAAACATTATTATTTATATTATTACTTATTTTATCATACATTTTTTCTTTATATATATATATATATATATATATATATATATATATATATATATAAAAAGAAAAAAATGCATGATAAATTAGGTTAAAAATGATAATAAAAAAAAATATATATATATATGTTTTTTTTTTATTGAATACAACATCATTATCCATGTTTTCTACTCCACATTCTTACAATATCACACTACTAAAGCCATAAAAGGGATGGAGAATGTAGTATGATGGTCCAAAAAATAAATAAAATTCAACATCTAATTAATAAATTAAATACATGAATAAATTATCTAAAACTATAGCAAACGATTAAATTTAAACCACAAATAGTCACACAACCTGTATGATGATGAGAATAATATATAAATATATCATATAGCTGGATTTCCACATTATTTTCAATGAAAAACAATAAAAATAAAATAAAGATTTATAAAATAAAGAGGAAACCCACGCCAACACAGGGAGAACATGCAAACTCCACACAGAAACACCAACTGACCCAGCCGAGACTCGAATAAGTGACCTTCTTGCTGTGAGGTCACAGTGCTGACCACTGCACCACCAAAATAAGCACACAAGAAAACAAGTGAACGCGAATAAGACAAATAAAAGCAGAGGCATTATGTTATAAAATATTTTATTTGCTTAATTGGCAGCTAATTGAAATGCATCAGATTGTATAACATAACCTGTAAAAGACACAGTCAGAGATAAACATCCGGTAACACTTTTCAGGATCTGATATAAATAAAACAGAAGAGTCAATAACAGGAGACATGCGCTGTCAGGAAAACAAGACATCATAATAACAGCACAGCGTCTGAGAGAAAGAAACAGGCTCCTTCTTTGGAAATTCCTCTTCAATTCAGCCTTCAGTTACTTTATTAACAACGCAGAGGAGTCTGGGTTACTCTGAGTGATGGGGAGGCAAACTGGGAAAGGGACAGTTCACACTAAATTTGACTTCTGTAGAATATTGTGTGTTTATTATGCACGTCAATAGCTTTGCTTCCATCCACATATTTTAATGTGCATTTTGGAATATTGCATAAACTAATTCTGAATTAATTAATAAAAAAATCTTAATTAATTCTGAAAAAACTCAGAAATTGAGCAGGATAAATGTTTCTGGTTATGCTGCTGTATTCACTAATGTGCATTCATTTATTCATTTTCCTTCAGCTTAGTCCCTTTATTTATCAGGGGTCACCACAGCGAAATGAACCACCAACTATTCCAGCATATGTTTTAAACAGCGGATGGCCTTCCAGCTGCAACCCAGTACTGGGAAACACCCACACACCACAGCCAATTTAGTTGATCAGTTCCCCTATAGCGCATGTGTTTGGACTTGTGGGGGAAACCGGAGCAACTGGAGGAAACCCACACCAACACGGGGAGAACATGCAAACTCCACACAGAAACACCAACTGACCCAGCCGAGGCTCAAAGCAGTGTTCTTACTGTGAGGCCTAAGTGCTAACCACTGAGCCACCGTGTTGTCCATTATTCACTAATGTTTTATGCAATATTTAAGTCTTGTGCATAAACCTAATCCACATCTTTGGATGGAAGCGCAGCTAATGTCTGCATTTCCCCTCAGAATATCTAGTTTTGTGTTTGACAGAGGAATAAAATAGAGTCAAATTAGCACATTTTTGGGTGAACTGTCCTGTAAAATCAACATACAGATAAAGAGCCGTGGTTTGGTTTCATCTAAAAGCAGAAGAGCATCAGAAATGAGTGATTTTCACACGTGCACTGTAAAATAAATGCTTCTCTTACTTAAGTGTTTTGGTCTTTTTTTAAAGTCCATATATCTGATAGTTCTTAAATTAAGGAGCATTTTCTAGCGGAGCAACAAATACTTTAAGTTTTCAGAAATAATGGGTCAAAATTAAGTGAGTTTGTCTTTAAAACAAGATAAATAATCAGCCAAATGAGGTGTGCAGAATAATGGAGCGTTCACTTTAAGATAATATTATTTCTCTTGCCTCATTGTCAGATTATTTTGCTTGTTTTAATGAGAAACTCACTGTATTTCGAGTCATTATTTCTGAAAATAAAACAATGTTTGTTTCTTGTCTAGAAAATGCTTCTTAATTTAATCATTTTTAGATATTTAGACTGAAACCAAGACAAAAGCTGTAAGTAAGAAGCGCATTTTCAGCAGTGTGACACTGGAAATGGAGAATAAAGGCACAGACACAGACGGAGCAGAAACTAACCTGCAGAAATGACCTTTAAAGCAGAATCAATAATAACAGAAAACAACTAAAAGCTAAACAACAAACTACATTATCAAAAGGCAAACAGTCGGTATATTGCAACTCTCTCCACTATACTACCCTCATCATCATCATCATCATCATCATCATCATCATCACACATGCGAATGTCACTTCCTGGCCACCTGATTGGCTGACGGTCGTGTGACACACTGGCATTAGAGGAAACAGAGCGGGCGTCTGTGGAAAAGGAAGATGTGACGCCGCGGCTGGAGAAAACAGGATTAATCTGGTGTAATAATATTGATTATTAATGGCAAAACATATATAAGACTACATTAGTAAAGCAAATTACAGATTCCAAAGATTCTCTCTCTCCAGCAGGCTTCGGTTTGCAGGAATAAATAAACAAACACAGCAAAATCGGACCCGATATTTTCCCTGCGGACGCACACGGCAGAGTGAATCATGGGGGTTCGGCTGAGAGTCACTATTTGGCAGCAAATACACTGCAAAAGAGCTTTTCTTACTTAGAGTTTAGTCCTGTTTTTAGTGTAAATATCTTCAAATTCTTAAATCAAGAAGCATTTTATAGACCAACACAAAATATAGTCTTGTTTTGATAAGTAATGAGTCAAGATTAGGTGAGGTGCTTATTAAAACATGCAGAATAATCAGCCAATGAGGTGAGGGAAAACTAGATTATTTTGCTGACCCCATTGGCAGATTATTTTGCTTGTTTTAAGTAAAAAGCACTTAACTATGTTGGCTTTACGCTATTAAAACATATTATTATTATTATTATTATTCCATCTTCTGAAGTAAACTCCATCTCCTCCTAGAGCTGTAATGCTACAAACCCCAAATTTGGCACAAAGCTGTGTTCTGCATTGTGGTTTGCTGCTATATCTTATCAGACTTACAGATCTGCTATAAATAATGTTGAACTATTATATTTTTTATTAAAATATGGCGAGTCATTTTAAGTACAAGTTCATTATTTACTAATTTGACTAATAGAAGAGTCCATTTTTTACTAATTTAACTAATATATATCACTAATTCAGCACTTCCAGCAAACTAATTGGTAGCGGTAAAGAAAACACAAGTCGTATTTTCTTTAATGCTAACATTTGCTTTGATAGAAGTGTTGAATTAGTGATATATATTGGTTAAATTAGTAAACAGATAAGACATTTTGCTGCTGCTTCATCTTGATGTGCGTTCTTTACACATGCTCTTTGCTTTCTGCTCCCCCTGGGTGCTTTCTCTACATCCTCACATGTTTAACATCAACAATACGTGTCACTCGTCCTAAATGCTTCTTGATTTAAGAATGTTTTGAAGTTTGGACTATAAACAAGACTTAAACCGCAAGTAAGAAAACCATTTGTGCAGTGTGAGTGAATGAGTTGAGTGAATGATTCAGTGATTCAGTGACTCAGTGAATCGAATGAGTCGCTTCATTTGATTCACACTCCCATGATGTGATTTCAGCTCTACCGATGTCGTCGTCCGCTGAGGGATTGTTGCATATTCGTTTGCGTTTGTGTTGTTGTTTATTCCTGCATGAACCGGCGGCTGTGGCATGTTTTTTTCTTCCCATCAGTCAGTAAAGTGCTTTAAGAGACGCCGTCTCTGCGACAAAGCCAAGCCGGTGCATCACAGCCGAACAGAAGAAATCATTATTATCATCATTATTATTCTAGAATCTGCTCTAAACATCAGTGATTGTGAATCTAGAATAAATTTAAGGCAAACACAGGGCTCTGAAGTTACACTACGCTCGTAATCTAATTCTCTAGTTCAACTACTACAACTGCTAGGGTTGATCTCAGCGCCGCTGATTTCAGATTTGTTCAGTCGAGCTGTGAAGCAAAGGCGTTCAGGATAACATGCATACGCACGCAAGCACGCACGCACGAACACACGCGCACACACACACACACACACACACACACACACACACACACACACACACTGTTTGCGGACTGATCACAAGCTGAGGCCTGTCAAGAGCCTAATATTAAAAATAGTGCAATTTTAGACATTTATATATAAATAATTCTAAAATCGTGCTTTCGTTTTTCAGCTTTCCATGTGTATATATTTATATAGTAGCCTATATACACACACACATATGATACTGCGTGAAGCTGTGCTAAAGCTGTGACAATTATTTTTTCTGAGAAATCAATTCTGCATCAACTCTGAGATTTTCAAACACATCAATATTCTCCACTGGATTTTGAGCTATTTTGACCAACAGATGGCGCTGTGTGCTTTACAAACTGTGTGCTTCCAATTCCTTATGAACACCACTGGAACAATAAATAATCATTCATAAAGTTAAGAAAGATATAAGGGGAATAAAGTGAGCTGTGTTTACATTAATCTGCTGTTATAAACTAGCCTAGAGTGCCATATAATGTTATAAATTAGTATAGAGCGCCATCTGCTGTTATAAACTAGGCTAGAGTGCCCTCTGTTTTTCATTAACTAGCATAGAGCGCCATCTACTGTTTATAAACTAGCCTACAGCGCCACTTACTGGTATAAACTAGCCTAGAGCATCATCTGCTGTTCAAAACTAGGCAAGAGCGCCCTCTACTGTTTATAAACTAGCCTTCAGCGCCATCTACTGGTATAAACTAGCCTAGAGCACTATATGCTGTTCAAAACTAGGCTAGAGCGCCGTTTGCTATTTATAAACTAGCCTAGAGCATTATCTGCTGTTCAAAACTAGGCTAGAGCGTAGTCTGCTGGTATAAACTAGCCTAAAGCGCCATCTGCTGTTTATGAACTAGCCTAGAGTGCCCTCTGCTGTTAACAAACTAGCCTAGAGCGCCGTCTGCTGTAATTAACTAGCCTAGAGCACCATCTGCTGTTCAAAACTAGGCTAGAGCGCCATCTGCTGTGTATGAAACTAGCCTAGAGCACCGTCTGCTGTTCAAAACTAGGCTAGAGCGCCATCTGCTGTTTATAAACTAGCCTAGAGTGCCATCTGCTCTTTATAAACTAGCCTAGAGCGTCATTTGATGGAATAAACTAGCCAAGAGCGCTGTCTGCTGATTATAAACTAGCCTAGAGCTCTGTCTGCTGTTTATAAACTAGACTAGAGCGCCATCTGCTGGTATAAACTAGCCTAGAGCACCGTCTGCTGTTTATAAACTAGCCAAGAGCGCTGTCTGCTGATTATAAACTAGCCAAGAGCGCCGTCTGCTGTTTATAAACTAGCCTAGAGCGCCATCTGCTGGTATAAATTAGCGTAAAGCACCGTCTACTGTTTATAAACTAGCCAAGAGTGCCGTCTGCTGATTATAAACTAGCCAAGAGCACCGTATGCTGTTTATAAACTAGCCTAGAGCGCCGTGTGCTGTTTATAAACTAGCCTAGAGCGCCGTGTGCTGTTTATAAACTAGCCTAGAGCGCCGTGTGCTGTTTATAAACTAGCCTAGAGCGCCGTCTGCTGTTTATAAACTAGCCTAGAGCGCCGTCTGCTGTTTATAAACTAGCTTAGAGCACCGTCTGCTGTTAAACACTAGCCTAGAGCATCGTCTGCTGTTAAACACTAGCCTAGAGCATCGTCTGCTGTTAAACACTAGCCTAGAGCGCTATCTGCTGTTAATGAATTAGCCTAGAGCAGCATCTGCAGCATAAACGAAGCTCAGAATCCATTCTCGACAGAACAGTGATGCATTTACAACTTCAGAATAAGAGCATCGTCGATTTCTCCAGTGATTTCCCACCACAGTTCTAACCGGAATTGGCACAAAAGCCTCTCTGACAGCAAATAAAGTAAAAATAAACGAAAAAATTAAATAAAATAAAGCGTAAAAGTGAATCCAAGAGGAAGACTAGTGCTGAAGACCAAAGCGTTCACATTTGCTGTCAGAGATCATCAGCACGTAGCAGAGACTAAGAGCGAAGACAAATAACGTGTAAATATTTATATAAAGTCTGAGACAGTCTCCTCAGCCGACGATCATGAAGGCGAGCGCTCGGGATGTTTTGCTAGTCCTCCGATTAGCGCTGCGCTCAGACCGGCTGTGCTTTGGGCTGTGTTTTGCTGCGTGTGTCCGCGCGGCTCAGCTGAATGAATCCATGCACTAGCGCCGCAGCCTGCGGAAGCGTCGTCGGGTGGTAATAGTGTCCGATGACCTCACTGTATGCAGGCGGAGGACCCTGGAGGCGCCCGCCGCTGATGCCCGTGTGTGTGAGCGCGCTGTCGTACACTGTGCGGTTGGGCGGCGGGCGCACAGACTCCCGGTTGAGCTCCAGCTGCTGCTCACGGTCCCGCAGCTGAAGCGTGCATGGCCCCTGATACGGCGGAGGTTCCTCGCCGTCAGACAGAGCGATGGTCGGAGGCAGTTCGATCACTGGAGGGAGGAATGGGAAGGTAGGCTGGAAGCGGGACACGCGCTCACGCTGCAGGAACGACGGCACTCTATCCGGCGCTCGAGGAGTGTAAACCTGTTGGAGAGACACATACATAAAGACACACACACACACACACACACACACACACACACACACACACACACAGAAAATATTTTGTCATTTAAAATTGTGTGAACTAATATTTATTTCGTTTACACTAAGGCTGCAATTAAGGATTAGTTTTTGAGGATTTTTTGATTGAGAATGTAGTTGTTCAGATTGCAACTATGCGCTTTATTTATAAGGATAGTGCCTTTTTGAAATGTTTATAATTTCAGAGAGACAGCGCATTAGCGGCCATCAGCCTGGCATACAGAGCAGAGCACAGACGATTGACGTTGTCCACGCACAAGATGGCGACAGAGATCGCATAATAAGCAAATAGAGGAGGAAAAACTGGATCATTTCTAACTACAGCTGATCAAAACATTATTAAACGGGTTAGTGACTCTTAGTTACTTTTTGGTTGGCCATCAGTTTGTTTCTAATTCGTCTCCTATTTTTATTACTGTATGGAGCTAATAATATGCCACATTGTGTTCATTTGTAGCAGAGAAATATTGGGAGATCTCTGTAGACTGATGGCATTTTATGCTCTTCAGATTTATAATCTTCAAATGTGAGCAACATTAGCTGTTTTGTCTTCACTTCAGACATTACGCTAGAGAATCATTCAAACACTAGCTCTACAGGGATGATGGTGAATGAGCAGCGGTTTCTGCTGTTCTGACGTCAGCTACAGATGTGAATGAATGACGGAAGAAAGTAGTTCATTGTACACAAGGGTTTTAGAGTCTCCATGTTTGATCTTCTTTTTTATATACACGATTATACCGGCGAACTGTTGTATAAATGCAGTATCACACGAGCAGCAGTGCAATATGACTGTATATCACTGGTGGGACACTTTAAATACAGATGAAGTCAGAATTATTCCCCCCCTTTAATTTTTTTTTCTTTTTAAATTATTTCCTAAATGATGTTGAACAGATTCAGGAAATGTTCACAGTATGTCTGATAATATTTTTTCTTTTGGAGAAAATCTTATTTGCTTTATTTCAGCTAGAATGAAAGCAGTTTTTATTTTTTAAAACACTATTTTAAGGTCAATATTATTAGCCGCTTTAAGCTACTTTTTTCCATGATAGTCTACAGAACAAACCATCATTATACAATAACCTGCCTAATTACCCTAACCTGCCTAGTTAACCTAATTACCCTAGTGAAGCCTTTAAATGTCACTTTAAGCTGTATTGAAGTGTCTTGAAGAATATCTAGTCTAATATTATTTACTGTCATCATGACAAAGATAAAATAAATCAGTTATTAGAGATGAGTTATTAACACTATTATGTTTAGAAATGTATTGAAAAAAATCTCTTCGTTAAACAGAAATTGGGGAAAAAATACACAGGGATCTGATAATTCAGGGGGGTGAATAATTCTGACTTCAACTGTATACTGTACACAAGACTGTAACACATTCCTCACTCATTTTCTTCAAATGATATACAGGGATTGCACATATAAGAAAACCTACTGTTCATTTTCTGCCAGAACATTGTGTAGTCTTATTTTTTTATTTTTTACAAGTAATCCATTGGTATTTACAATAAAGTCCAGCATAATTTCTTACATTGCATTAAATGTCCATAAGCTGAACAGAAAGCCTACTGGTCATTCTCTCTGTTCACAGAACATTATGCAATTTTGGGTAGATTTTCCTTTTACTCTGCATGTAAACAGATCATCCTGTAAGTGTTGGTATGATTGCAGGTATTGATTTAGTGAAGCGTACCTCACTCATGGCACTAGAAGAGCCTGGCCCATCAGAAGACCACAGACTGCCCTCCTGAGAACGAGATGGAGAGCATTATACACACAGAACAACAGTTTATAATGCTGATGTGCTCCGTTTATGCCTGCTGTTATTCTGTCTGCTTACAAAACTCAATTCCTTCAACTCAAATCAACATGTCATGTTCATTTAGCCAATTTGCATGTTAAACTATATTTATATAACTATAAATATTGAATATTGAATGAATACATACATACATACATACATACATACATGCATACATACATACAAATATACGAGGCATTTTTATTAATGTGCTGCCATGAAAACAGTTCAATCTACATTTACAAAAGCATCATTTGTCAGTTTCCAGATGCTTATAGGGGTGTCAGACACACACTAATACATGCACGTGCGCTCACACACACACACACACACACACACACACACACACACACACACACACACACACACACACACACACACACACACACACACACACACAGTTATCATCATGAATCATAATAATTAATGAATCATTAATTTTGACATATTGCATGCATGTGTGTGCGCCACTAGATGTCAGGATTTCTATAGTGCAGATTACACACACACACACATACACACACACACACACTGAGTCACTGATAATGTGACCCAGCTGAAGCTAATATTAGAAGCGTTACTCCACAGTGAAGCGATGCCTGAGACGAACATCAAAGTGTGTGAATGAAGCCGTGAGACAGGACAGTGTGTGTGTGTGTGTGTGAGTGAATGTGTGTCTTAATGACAGCTGGGACAGGTGTTGTCCAGGAGTCTGTGTGTGCCTTTGTTTGTGTGTGTGTATAAGAGTATGTGTGAGTGTGTGCGACTGAGTGTGTTGCTTGTTTTTGTGTGTGTGTGTCTTACCGAGGGCAGGGGCAGGTGTCGTCTGCGCTCGTGTGTGTGTCTGGACATCAGAGATCGCGCTGAGAGTCTGTAGTGGTTCAGCAAACACGTGATCACCAGCACCATCATCATCATCACCACCACGATCACCAGAATCTGAACAAACTCCAGCTGGGCTGAACACACACACACACACACACAAACACACACACACACACACACACACAGGAGACAGTGTCAATAACACTCATCTGTACAGTCAAAACTTCTCTGCAGTCATGAAAACACAGCTCTGAATCCTCATCCACAACTCAAACTTATGATTGAGTGTAGTATAATACACACCGCTGACTGAAAAGGCTTCATACACACGCATAAATACACATACACTCACATACACACCAACACTCTAGTCAAGATGCACACACACACACTCAGATGCACTGTTGCTGCTGATACAAACAGCAGCTCTTCACAATGAGTTCATCTTTATTTCTGTAGTGTTTTTACAGTGTAGAGTGTGTCAGAGCAGCTCAACGTAACGAGACTCACTAACACACATCCAGTGCTCAAACATCCCTTTTACACAATATCATCTACAGTATTTATTACTGTCAACCTGGATCACAAAGTCTTACGCAGCACGAGTATAGCCCAGGGTGCACACAGGTTTACTACTAAAACTCCATCACTTTTCCAGAACTTTTAAGTACATTTTCATGATGTAATATTTCATGTTATGTCTACATATACATGGTAAATAATAATTACGGTAAAATTTATTTAGCATACCACAGAACACGCAACAATCTATGTTGTTTAAATAGGTTTTTATATATCTGTAAATTTGATTGTGATGATGCTTACACAGCACTGGCAATAAGAGAGCAAGTTTTTGGCCAAAGACAGAAAAGAAGTAAAGACAACCAACTTATAGTCAAGTTAGAGCTGCACAATATAAGGTTTCAGCATTGATATCGGAGTGTGTGCATCCGCAATAGTCACATCACAGAATATGCAATGATGGGATTATAGTTTAATATAGAGTTTAATCATAATGGAGTAAAAGTGTATCATCTGCATGCATTTTAAAGAGATAGGTCACCCAAATATAACTCACCATTTTCATTACACCCTTCACTTGTTTCAAACATTTATGAGTCTTCTTTGTTTTTAAATGAACACAAAAACAATATAATTGAATATCTCCGATAGTATTGAAACACGTCAAGTGTGAGTAAATAGTGAGCATATTTTAATCTTTGAGTGAACTGTCCCTTTAAGGCCTGTGACTGTGTGAATATTTCAATATTTCAGTTTAAAACATCCAACTGCAAGAAATGTTTTGTAACTTAAATAAAGATGAAATAATAAACAATGAAGACTGTGCAGTGTTGATTATTCAATATCTGTACCTGAATAGTGAATACCTGAAAACTATCATTCACTATATCTCAACTATATTTGATTTATTTTGTCATTTATTTGTTATATTATTGGAGATTCACTCCTCTACAAAATCCCTCCAATCAATCCAAATAAGCCTGTTTAATCATCTGCTGAAACTGTATTCACATCGCAATAAACATTACAGAAATACTGTCAATTTTTTCCAATATCACACAGCCCAAATTCAACTGTACAGATATTAGTTAAACTAATTTCCATGACTTTTCCAAAACTTTGTGGTTTTTTTTATGTTTTTCCAAAACTTTTCCAGGCCTGGAAAACACCATGTCAATATTCTATGACTTTTCCAGGTTTTCCACGACCGTATAAACCCTGTATAGCCAGTGATGCATCTCAATTATAGACTTTTTCCATACCAAAAATCATTTGAAAAACTTCCACCAAAATATTATTGTTTTGCATTTACGTCAACAAAAAATAAAATGTAGACAATTAAAAGAGAGACACACAAATACAGAGACACAAACACACATACTACACATCTGCACGTTCACTGGAACACACTCAGGTCAGGGATCATATACCTTACAAGAGGGAGAACAGAGTGAAGAAGAAACAATGACATTAACCCACCACACACACACACACACACACACACACACACACATACACATACACACACATACACACAAACACACAAACACACACACACACACACACACACACACACACACATAAATACACACACACACACACACACACAAACACAAACACACACACACACAGTAATTAAAGCAGCACAGCATTCAAATAACCATAAAGAGCCCATTATGTTTCACAATACAAGCAATGTGGAGATAAATACAATCACTGCATATCATTTACAGGGCAACATTAAAACCCTCAAATCAGCTCTGCACAAAGAAGTAAATAAACTAATACACAAGAGGAATATCTGCAAATTAGAGATGGAGATGACATCGTCTTTTCCACACATGCAGACTGCGCATTACTGCAGACACAGAGCAGTATTCAGTAACTTCTTTAGAGTCTTTCCTACTGAGTCCAGCGATTTGTAATCCTTTCACACACGGTTTATAAACGTGTCCTTGGCTACTGCAAATTAAAACAACTAGCTTTGTGATGTAGCCAAACTATTTCAGGGCATTAGATAATGGTTGATATTTTAGCATTTATTCTGAATAGCACTGGTGCATGTGTGCATCAACACAGCCGCCTATTTCCATAACCAGAGTGTTCTTCAATACTCATATTCATCCACAGCTGCAATATCACGAGTGTTTGGGAAATCTCTAACAACAGCACTCAGAACATGTGCATTACTGTTCAATGAAGGAAACCAGTTCAGTCTTATTAATGTATAGTGCACTGTGCACACTGACTCGGTCCCGCTCTTTCATTCATTCATTCATTCAGTTTCTTTTCAGATTAGTCCCTTTATTAATCCGGGGTCACCAGTGCGGAATGAACTGCCATCTATTCCAGCATATGCTTTACACACTGGATGCGCTTTCAGCTGCAACCCAGCACTGGGAAACACCCACACACTCTTGCATTCACACACACTATGGCCAACTTAGTTGATCAATTCCGCTATAGCACATGTGTTTGGACCCACGCCAACACGGGGAGAACATGCAAACTCCACACAGAAACACCAACTGACCCAGCCCAGGCTCGAACCAGAGACCTTCCTGCGACCATCATGCTAGCTCTAATATTCGCAATGTAATCATGACGTGCAATGTAAAGGTCTATAAACACGGGACAGCAGTTCACACAAATAAAGAAGCAGAACAAGAGCTTCAGCCTCAAACACAAAACCTAAACTTAACTACTAGTCCCTAATTAGCAATAATAAGCATCTAATTAGCAGTTTATTAAGCTACAAGTCTTAATTAATGGTTTGTAATAGCACAAATTGTGATTTAAAATAGAGTGTGGCCATTATTTTATAAAGTTAGTAACCCAGCACTGATCACAGCTGAAGTCAGACTCACTCTGTTGTGTTTCTAATAATCAGCCGACCCTGAAACTTCACCACAAACCATCAGACAGAAGAAGCTGAAGCTCCCAAATTAAAGACAGCAGCATCTCTAACAAACACCAACACAAACTGCACAAACACACAACAGCAGCAGCACTATGAAGAAGAGAGAGAGAGACTCACGGCTGCAGTGCATCTGAACACACGGCTGCAGAACAGGAGGCTTCATCATCCCACAGGACAGCAAACACACTGACACTGACTCTAGAGCTGCACCAACACACTGATGAAGAGGCGCCGCTGGGGCAGATGGGCCAACACACACACACACACACGGAGAGAGGGTCTAGACTCTGAGCATGGAGGATTTGCATAATAACAAAAAGAGCAGGAGACAGCTGATGGTCTGAGGACGTGCAAGACGAGCACACGTACACACACACACTGTCCACTCACACACACTGTACACTCACAGACACACTATACACATTATACACACACACTATCACAAGAGACACACATCACACACTTAAAGATCCACATACACTCAGACACATACACACCACATACTTACAGACAAAAGTAAATATTAAAAATACACACAAACACACACACACAGACATAAATAAAAATAAAATACAAACACTCAGAGACACACACATCACATATATACACACACACACACACTCAGAGATGCACACAAACAGGCCACCACATAAACACTGATACACTTACAGAGACACACATTTACAGACACACACACGCACGCACGCACGCACGCAAACAGACCTCCACACACCCACTCTAAGACACAAAATTCTCACACACAAACACACATCACATACAGACACTATCCCACATTTATGTACACTTGCGTGCACACACACACACACACACACACACACACACGCGCGTACGCGCACACACACACGCGCACACACACACGCGCACACACACACACACACACACACACACACACACACACACACACACACACACACACACACACACACACACACACACACACACACACACACACACACACACACACACACATTACACTGTTTGCATTTTTAAACATTCAGATAATAATCATGTATTATTTTTTATATTTAATAATATTTTTCTCTTGTGGAGGCCAGAAACCCAATGTCAAATATACCAAGCTTTACTATCCTTGTGGGGACATTTGGAGCTGACAAAATGGCAGAATCAAGTACACACACACTCTCACTTCATAACACACACACTCAGGGTGATGGAGGGGTCACGAGGGCTCTAAGCTCCCCCCTCCCCCAACTCTCTCACACAGGTCACCTGAGGTCACAGTCGAGCCAGACAACAGTCAGACAGAGAGGAGGGGTGTGTGTGTGTGTGTGTGTTTGTTTATCTGCAGTTTGGGTACACATTTGACCTCATAAATGAGTTTAAATCCAACCAAATCTCCCATGGCACATTAGGTTCGCCTTCAACTGGAAACAAGGCCTCATTAATAATACAAAACACAACTTCCTACAACATGTATGAATAAAGGAGATATTATATAATATTATATTAGGGGAGCTTTAGATTAAATATTTAACACTTCTCTAGTTTATTACAGTTTGTACATGATTGTTTTTAAAAACAGCCTCCACAGAGATTCCTGCACAGTGAGGCTGATGCTGATGAAACAATTCAACAACTGAAATCATTGAAATCTTCAGATCATACTGATTTACGGTATTTTTTTATTATATATAAATATTTATATTGTAT